CACCTGCCACAACATTAAGACCACCTGCCACAACGTGAAGACCACCTGCCACAACGTTAAGACCACCTGCCACACTGTTAAGACCACCTGCCACAACGTTAAGACCACCTGCCACAACATTAAGACCACCTGCCACAACGTTAAGACCACCTGCCACAACGTTAAGACCATCTGCCACAACGTTAAGACCACCTGCCACAATGTTAAGACCACCTTTCAGAACATGTTGCTATGGTGGCTCATAGAAAGTGCAGCAGCTTCTCATGCTCCTAGTTTAAGCCTTATTTTAATTCCTATGAGGCCGTTTCAGGCGCTGGTTCTGTGCTGGATTTGTGGCTCAGGTACAGCTCAACGAGCTGATGGTCATCAGAGATAGTTCGGTTGAGTTCTGAAATCCACACTCGGCAGACAGCGGCTCCTGAGGATGGTGCAGTGAGGAGCAACGGTCAGGAGGAGGGGTTGCGTTGGCCCAGGCTAGAACTGATTCCCGCTCTGTTACTGGTCAGTGTCCGCTCACTGGATACAAAGTGGACTTGTTGTATCTGAGGATGAGTGTTTCTACAGAGATGAAGAACTGTGCTGTTCTCTGCCTAACGGAAACCTGTCTGAACAACAACATGCCGGACTCAGCCTCAACGGTCTTCAGTTATTCTGCGCGAATCGTGACCATCGATTGGAATGATCACCGGGGGTGGAGGGGGGGGGGGGGGGGAGAGACGATGACTGTGTGTTCGTGAAAGAAGGCGCTATGGAGAGCTGGACTTGGGAGCTGGGAGGGCTCTGTCCTGAGGAGCTGTCACTGTGTGTTGGACAGCATCTGCACCTGCATCACTGTGGCACGGCAGAGGGAGGATGCAACTGGGGAGCACCCCCCCCCCCCCCCCCACTATTACTCTGTTTGTGCCGGGGGACTGGATCTTTGGGATGAACCAGTCTTTAATGTATTTTGGGGTTTAAAAGCCACTGGGACATTATGTTTAGAAAATAAACGTCTCAGTTTCTCTGATACTCCCTCAACATATGGAATGACCACTGGTCTGGGTCTGGGTTCCTCCTTTTCACCTGTTGGCTGACTGGAGTCCTGTTTGGGTTTCTTCTCTTCTTTCAGGAAGGCCCAGTTAGGATATCCACATTGCTCTAGAGCCTGTCTTGTGTGGGATTTGTCCTTCTGCCTGGCTCCTGAGTTAGTGGGGACGCTGTCTGCTCTGTGGTACAGAGTCCTGATGACTCCTAACTTGTGCTCCAGAGAGCTGCTGCAACGTGAGATGTTGTGGACCCCCCAAGCTGCTGCAGCTAGCTGTTGCTAGCTGTGGGCCTCAGGCCTCATCTTGGACCCTATGTTTGCCTCCAGCTCACACGGCTCCTGACTTGGACCTCCCTCAGAAGTAGCAACTCACACTTTTTTTTTGTATTGAACGTTTTTTGAATAGCAACTCACACTATCTCCATAAATCACGGAAACATAAATTAAAGTTTACCATTTGTATTAAATCAAGGCAGGAGAAAATTACAGTTAACAGCGTTGGCCCTCTTTGATACAATTGACACGAGTTCCTGGACCGGAAGGGGCTGGATATCACATGGCATTACAAATACGTACATGGGGCCTAGGCTCCGCCTTCACTTCCGAGAGCACGTCTATCACTTGGATAAGAAGGGGCGGTCTAAGTGTGATCTCAATGAATCTTATGTGGTCTGACATGTCAGGAAAAAATGATACGGTGCACAAAGCCTTTCTACGTGATGCGGCAAGCCAGTAAAGAAATAATAAATAAATAAAACTCTATTCCTCGACAGATATTGAATCCCTGGGAGAATCTTTTTAGAGTTTCTGGCCCCATTTAACCCAGTCAGACCCAGGTCATAATTTAATTACAATCCGTCTCTGAGCAGATCAAAAAACCCAGGGTCAGTCTAGATAAAATACTAACAACTCCTCCTGGTTCGAGGGACCCAGAGGGTTTCCTTGAAAAACTCCCAGTTCAAGACCGCTGGAACTGCAAGCAATTAATGAAGTTTGTCTATGTGTTTGAATGTAACCTATCCCTATGTGTGCACGGAGGGCGCCTTCTGGCTATAGACGTGTGACCTGCCCAGCCCAGGTCAATTGCTCGTCTCAGCTCCACAGCACCAAACTGCTGTGCAACCTCCATGGCACACTTCTTCTTGTAGTGAGGCAACAGTTTTAACCATAATGCATCGTGCTGCCAAGTGGACCGACAGACAGAAGGACGGACAGATGGAAGGCGTGTTGTGGATTTTAGTTCTGACCTTTAAGCAGAATCAGAATCAGCTTTACTGTCATTGCACCAAAGCACAACAAAACTATATTTTCAGTTCAGCCTGTCCAAGTAAAACATAACCAAACAGACATGGGGGGTGGGTGTCTGAGGTCACGGCCTGTGGGAGGCGCTGACCCTTTCATTTAGATAGGAAAAGAGAAACACGGGGAGAAGGGGAGGTATCAAAAAATCATGTCTCGAATTGTGTCCTAGACGGGACACTGTGTGAAAGTTGCAAAAAAAACCTTCAGCACAGAAACAGCAACATACAGATGACATCATGATACGTACATGAGGAGGCCGACGAAGCAGCAGATCCTTTTGTCCTTGGACGGTATGACATGGCCCCTCCATGGATCGGACTTGTTGGTTCTCTATGACGTGTCTTTACCAGGGAGGAGACACATGGACCCAGCTGTCCACATCATAGAAACCTGTCCCATTAGACCAGACCACCTGTTTTATTTACTCCATGGGTGAGTTCTGATGGACCCAGTCTGATGCTGACCTATGCACAGCTACGCAGCCCCAAACATAACTAAATGGATGGTCTGTTTCTAAACCTTTTCATCAGAACCAGTAGAAACATTTTCAGCTCTTCTGTTGGATCATATCAACACGAGCCAGGCTTCAGTAACCATGACCTGGTCTCTGATTCTCTGGGTCTCCTTCCTTGGGAGGTTCTCCTTTTCCCTCCATCATTTTGGTGAAACACTTTTCTTGAACAGTAAGTTCACCTGCTGCCTGACAGATCTCGCCCACTAACAGGTAACCACAGTAACCAGACGATCAGCTCGTGGTTATATTGTTATGCTGACTGGTGTAAGTTACTGGATGATAACTACCGTGCATCTGTCCGAACAGAAGTGCTTGTGCAGAAAAGATTCCCAGAGAGCCTGATCCACCAGTTCTGCTGCAGGATGATCCAAGAATGAGGCGTGAGCCAGGATCTGGTTCTGGTTGTCCCATACGGTCACGGCCAGGTTGGCTTTCTCCCTGAAAAGAGCAGGGCAAACACCACAGGAGAAGAATTAAGATTGAAGTAAATAAAGAATTCTTCAAGATAGCAAGAAATGAAATGGAAACTCATTTCTGCCTGTGTCTCTGCCCTGATCTGTAGAATCATCAGAGACAACAGCAGGATCAGAAAAGTCCCCCGTCAGACCTTCTGGGCTAAAGTGTTCCATGTATGGGTCCACAGACCGGCATGTTTAGATAACCTCCTCAGAGGTCAGAGTTGGTCTTCTTTATCACATTTACAACCTTCTGTTGCATTGTAACTCTGTGATGTCTTTATTTTGGTGATTTAGTTTTAATATTTTTGACGTTATATTTGAGATAATTTCTGAACAGTCCTGATGCTGCTCAATAATCCAGGTAGAAAAATCCAAAAAAGTTCAATCTGGTCCTCTGGACATGCAAAAAAAAAACAAAAAAAAAAAACAAAGCAAAAAAATATAGAAACGTTTCGTCTCTCATCCTGAGGACTTCCTCAGTCTGAGGAGCTGTATTCAGCTCAGTCTCTTAAATAGCACCTTCTCAGAGTGGATCAACCAGTTTTGCTGCTGACAACCAGAACCAGCTGATCACATGCTCAAGAAGGACCATCAGCCTAACAATGGATCATTAGCACCTGATGGCTGTTTACT